TATATATATATATATATATATATATATATATATATATATATACTAGCTTCGTAACTAAAATAACCATTTGTTTTTAAGCTCAGACGTTTCGTGTATCCTTGGACGCAAAATGGTTGGTAAACACTTGACGCTGTTTTTGTTAGTCTTGGCGCGGTGTCACAGAGAAAGCGAGACACGCGAGGAGTATAGTGCTGTAACCTTTGCCCAATAAAGGCACAATAAAAGATAGATATGTTTAAGAATAACAATGATGATTTTCTAAAGGTCGAGGTCACAATCGCTCTAGGCTGTCGTACGGTTTTGATGTCGTAGAATGTTCAAGCAGAGAACCAATCGCCGACAAGATTTTTTTTTGTTAACAAGTCAGCACATGCACGACAATTCCAAGAATGCCCTCCGTCTGCGATCATATCAAATGACCAAAGGTTCTGTCCATTTTGTCCAAACATGATTGAAAATGATCACCATTTTAAAATGGATTGTACACTATACAATGATAAGCGCCTATTGCTGTTCACTTTTCTTTCCGCTTTTTCAATTGACTTCAATACGTTAGATCCTATAGATAAATTCAATTACATTTTCAGGGGAGATAACCAATACAGTGCTCAAATAGGAAAATACATTAAAGAATGTTTCAATCTTAGAGACTACATGTTAGAGAGTAGTTATACCTTTATTGTTATTACTGATATATATTCTGTATGTAATTTGCCACATACATATATTCTGTACGTAGGACGAAGTTATCCATACATGCATTTACCTTTGTTAAACCTTTAGTTGTAGGACCATACAAAAGTCCCTGTACTTTTTGTTGTATCAGTAAAGAATCTGTATCTGTATCTGTATCACGGTCGTACGTACGGCGTTTTTTTTATTTTCTATTTTTTTATTATTATTCCAACATGTAATCACCAGACGTGGTGACGACACACTCAAGTTTTTTTCAACTTATATTAATGCCGCCACCAACACAGGGGACAAATACATGACAGGACGATACTCATGTTCACCTGAGCTAAGTGAGGAAAAAGCCGTGTAAAGTGCCTTTCCCAATTAGGGCACAAGATCGGTGGCATGTCAGGACTCGAACCCCGGACTCTAAGTTCCGAGTCGCGTACTCTGCCGCTACGCCACACGACCCCACGTACGGCGTTTGTGACTGGGTTCTTTACAATATATGAATGAATGAATGAAAGAACTTTATTGTACATTTGTGCTCTAACAAGCTAAGTACAGGTCTTGAATAGACAAGGAAAAGGATACAGCAATGATACTAAAACTATACAAACTAATGTGATCTACTATTTACATTGTTCGACTTCTCGCTTCTTGACGCAGTTATAGATGTACGAGCATATAGAACTAATGATACATGGTTTGTCAAGTTTCATAAGAAATATAAATTTTTCTGATTCATTTAAATGTCCAAAGCTGGGGAACTTATCTGTTATATAAGAATATAGGAAATCTCTCTCATTACTATATAACGTACAATCGTCTACGAAATGATACTCATCCTCAATCTTATCTAAATCGCAAAATTGGCAAATCCTTTGCTCTAGAGGAATGCGGTTGTGTCTGCCTTTATAATATAGACGGGCCATTCTTATCTTAAATGGCACACGTTAAATATAGTCTTCAATATAATTGGAAAGTCTTTGTTGAGCTTTAGGTGTTTGCTACGATTCTTTATCAAATCACATTTTGTCTACTGCCGAAACGTCTTCAATTCACAAAGAGCAAATGTTTTAACTTTGTCCACGTAATTCTACATAAACATCTGTATCTGTATCGGTATAGCCCTTCGGCGTAACACACCAGCTTCGTAGGCACGCAGCGCGGCGGCAGCTAGCTATATCACACCAAACGACTTGTCACACTCAATCTTTGCACATTTGATTGCAGGAGTTGTTTAAAGTTTTCTAGTGATGATGCCCCAATATTGTGCTTGGTGGCAACGAGTTTCAGTCTACGATAGTTCTGGGGAAATACGAGTTTTGAATACCTCAATTCTTGGTTGATAACTCTGATATTTGAAGGCATGACTGTGTCTTGTTCTTTTCTGGGCTGGTATCAGATACTTAGTGGTTGGTACGTCCACCAGTTTATTAGTCATTTTGTACATCATGCATAGTCTGGACATTCTACGTCTGTCAATGCTTCTATTATCTGCAACGCAGGCCTCAATACAGCATTTCATAATGCCGGCAGTTGTATTCATACGTTTGTCAATAAGAATTCTTAAAACATTTCTTTGGTAGTCAACAATAATTGCCGAATACAACGAAAAGAACGACAGATTTGTTTTACTATGTTTAAATCTCATAAAAGACGCCTAAAATCTGCCAGTGAACTCATTACCTTTGAAAGTAGTGTTTTATTTCCCTTATTCTTAAAGTAAATGGACTGCAAACACTCGAAAGGTTTTAATATATCGACCATTCTCCTTAATTGTCATTTTGAGTACATGAGCAAACCTCGCTGGGCAAATGTTTGTAATGCACACATGCGGAGAATATAATGGCGTATTTTTCGTTGGACAAATTTACCATAGGAACTTGTACAGGTGCACTTTTGCTGCTTTAAAGAAAGCTGGGTTATCAATTTTTATACAGTGATGTTTTGTTGGTACGTATATATTGGTCTATTTTTGCAAAATGCTTTCTTTTGTATTTTTTCCTCTTCTTACAAGGCCCTTTGGTCCCCTGAGGCCCTCTCCTCTCTGTCTCTCTGTCTCTCTGTCTTTGTCTCTCTCCCTCTTCTCCCTGTCTCTCTCTCTCTCTCTCTCTCTCTCTCTCTCTCTCTTCTCTATCTCTCTCTCCTCTCTCTCTGTCTCTCTTTTTTTCTCTCTCTCTCTCTCTCTCTCTCTCTCTCTCTCTCTCTCTCTCTCTCTCTCTCTCTCTCTCTCTCTCTCTCTCTCTCTCTCTCTCTCTCTCTCTCTCTCTCTCTCTCTCTCTCTCTCTCTCTCTCTCTCTCTCTCTCTCTCTCTCTCTCTCTCTCTCTCTCTCTCTCTCTCTCTCTCTCTCTCTCTCTCTCTCTCTCTCTCTCTCTCTCTCTCTCCTCTCTCTCTCTCCTCTCTCCCTCCCCCTCTCTCTCTCTTATATCCGGTAGGCTGACATCTTGGTCATTGACACCACAGTCAATAGTGAACAGTCCTTCGTATTATAACAATCAGATAGAGGTGACATTAGATAGCAGTAAACTTTGTTTGAGCTGCAGGCAGACTTTGCGCTTGTGTGACGTACAGCGTGGTACCACAAAGGAGGGGCAGGAAACGGGGGGGGGGCATTTGAACATTGATCGAACTGCGTATATCAAAGTAAGTACAAAGGTGTGTTATTTTTGTGACTCAGAACTTTCTGGAACCCACAATGACAGTGTACTCCTGTGACATGACTTACACTAACAGCTGTGCCATCAAGGAGATTTAAGTTAGGAACCGGTCATATATGTTCTAGGATCGCAAGCTGAATGTATTCTTGGGATAGACGCCGTAACATGTGTCCTGAAACATTCGGATACTGTATCTTCTGATTCTGTATGGCCGGTATAACCGTAACACACCAGCTTCGCAGGCACGAAGTAGTGATGATAATGTGATAAAACATTATCATCACTATTTCGTACTTCCTGTGTTTCTGACTTGTGCCAAAATACTCTCACACAAACGGGCAGGGTTTTTCCACACACCACATGGTTGGATCTCCAAAACACGACAATCTGTACTTTAACCTTGACTCTTTAGGACAAGTTTGGCTGTTGTTTTTAAAATCAAATGGTGTATTTTGTCGTTTATTGCCAAAACTCTCGAATATTACCACAAGTGCCGCAGGTACTGCGAACACTATAGAATTATCTAGTTTACTACTAACTACATATAGTCTGTTGTTTTGATGAAATATCGGAAATTTTCTGGCATGCAAAAACAACACACGTACAAGGATGTTGACACGGTGACATCACTAATGCATTAGTCAGTTCCGTAAACAACTTTCAAGGCCATATCTTAAAATCATACTTCTTGTCTTGTCAACTGTGCTCTAACTTTAACGGGAGGGGTCCTAATTCCGGCCTATGTTCCATGCAAACGCACATACCTTTGGTAATAGTTTATCTGACCAAAAGCTCGCGCAACATGAGATATAATATTGGCAGATAAAGATCACAACGATTAAAGCTGCACAGCTGTGTATTTCACTTCAGTGTAGCACCTTGTACCCAAGCGTAATGGTTCACGAAACTTACGGCAGGTTTTTGGTCATTTTGCCGGTGGAACGTTCTATCGCAATAGTGTTTAACACAGGTCGATCAGAGAAGAGAGTTTAGAAATTATGATACACAAATTATGACTAAAACAATCTACAACTGTTTTTCTGTCCCAAACAAGTCCTCTTTTTACGATTACGCGACTTGCTCCAAAGCGGCTGTTTCAAAAGCAAAACCATCAAACATTTGTTTATGATTATTAGAATGGAAGTTTACGCGATCGTAATGTAGTCTAAGTCGGGTGCCTATACTAGTACGACATGGAACAAAACAAGGGTTTCGTGTGCCACAAACACGAATGTAAATACATGGCTTATAATTAATGACTTCCGTGACTGGGTTCGTGTTGTTATTGGCGTTAGTTTTTTTTTGTTACTTTTGTGATCGGAAAAACCGTAAAGTTTATTCATGTTTTCCTCCTTTTTTTGTTTATTTGTTTGTGGACAATGTGTCTTTAGTATGTTTGTTATTAGAAAAAATACCGAAACTTGTGATTAGCCCACTCGATTGTAACACTTTATCAAAGACTTGCGCTAGCCCTTATTGTTTGAGTAATTAAGATATGTTAGGTTTTATTCGACATTAGGTCTTATTCAACACATTTATTTTATTGTTTTCTTTATGTAGTTTGCCATACATTGTACCATGTGCAATTGTCGTGCAATAAAGTTCTTCTGTTAAAGAAGGGAGTGTTTTGGCCCCCTAGCGGCCTCCCGTAAATTGCAGCTGTTTGTTAGCAAGTTAATTTGTGAACAACAGCACTACATAACCTGTGAATGGATCTTATTATGTCTTCAGGCACTGGTCGAAAAGTGACCACGTTGACCAGGTGGTCCTTATACCGAGGTGGTCACTAGTATACGTTTGACTGTATCTGTCTCTAGCTGTCTCTGTATCTGTATCTGTAAAGTCAGTATAACCGCCCTTCTGCGTAACACACTAGCTTCGCAGGCACGCGGCGCGGCGGCAGCTGGCTACATTACACTGATCGACACCTAACCCTTGAACATCTAACTCTAGACATTGTTTAAAGATATCTAATGACAATGCCCCTACTGTACTTGGTGACAGCGAGTTCTACTCTGCGATAGTAAACTTTATCTGAAGTTATAAAACAACAATCCTCTATTCGTTATGAATTATCATGTAATATGTACGCTATAGTTCAAGGTTATTACGTATTTCAGTGACGTCATGAGATAAGAAATGTTGCAACCCTGACAGCATTTCATATAATCTCCAAGCAGAGGTTGTGGGGGAATGATCGTTAGCTTTTTATATATGATTGGCCGTTTTTTTCGTCGGTGGCCGCGGACCTTCTCTGGCTAATGGATACTGCCTGGCCAATTTGATACTGTCTTTTTGCCACCGAAAGGGATCTGCTTGGAGATTACATTTCATACACGCGGAATTATAGCTTATTACAATAGTAAAGAATACAATATTTACAGAGAGGTATTGTCTACACTAGTACAGTAGAACTAAAAGGAGCTCTTACGGTACTAGTATGTTTATCCAACCGCCCTGTAGTAGTACCATAATCTGTATAATTTGTATTAGCATTACAGAAAGGACAAGACAATGTGAAGTTACAACTTATTCTGTTACCACACACTAACACACACACACACACACACACACACACACACACACACACAACACACACGACACACACACGACACACACACACCGATGATACAAACAAAACAAAACAAAACAAAACAAAACTATTCAGGTGATTTGTACAGTACAGTATTATATAATGTTGGTTGTTGCCAGTTACAATCTCCAAGCAGATACAGGAAATCCATTCTCAGTCTGTTTTGCTTGTTTTTGCCTTATATGTTAAGTCTTTGTTGTGTTTCACCCTTTTCGTTCTTTAAAGGGGAAAAGAAAAACCTACTAACCAACAGTAAGAGCCTCCAGAACATGCGTATAACATTGAGTCTAACCGCATCTGCTTGGAGTTTCATGACCGCACCCTATTGTATTTTTCCCTATCTGTATGTATAGAAGACAGTTTACGGTACGTACCAGATGAAAGCTGACCATGATTTGAGTCCCAGTCCGCACATCGAAACAGCAGCACTTCTTAATGATCGCCATGTTCGCAAACACGCGGTAAAACCAACTCTCCACGCCGCGCTTCTGCTCACAAAACGTCGGTACTAAATGCGTGGCTCGACTCCTTCCGTGCCTTTTTGCATGCGTTTGACGGTTCAAAGTGCAGGTTGTACGCGGTGGGACTGGTGCACACTAGTCTAACGCAACTCGCTCCCAGTGTTGACACTGATACAGACTGTACAAACTTGCAGATCATTTATTAACTAAACTATCGAGGGACTCTGATGCTAACAGACCCACGTGACGTTACAAACACATGGTTATCAGTGAGTCATCTATAGGTATGGCAGGCCGGTCTATCAGCCAACACGTTTTCAGTGTGTTTGTGTGTTTGTCTCCCTCCCTTTCTTTCTCTCTCAATTTCTCTGTGTCTCTTTCTTAATCTCTCCCTCTCCCTCTCTCTCTCTGTGCAGGCATGAATATATGTGTGTGTGTGTGTGTGTGTGTGTGTGTGTGTGTGTGTGTGTGTGTGTGTGTGTGTGTGTGTGTGTGTGTGTGTGTGCACGCGCACGTGTGTGTGTGTGTGTGTGTGCGCGCGCGCACGTGTGTGTGTGTGTGTGTGCGCGCGCACGTGTGTGTGTGCGTGTGCGTCTGTTTGTGCGTGTGTATGTTTGCCAGACATCATTTTCTTCCAACTTGACCCTAAGAGCAATCTATGTTAACCACGACGACACCACCTACGAGCACACAGGCACATCAGACAAACACACACAAAAACACATCCCAAACACCACCTCAGTATCGGGACGTAATAAGCAAAAACGAAGCCTGCTTTGGAGAGGCTATGTCTTAGTTTTAATAAATCATGTAGATATGTTCATGCTTTTTAAATGATTATACACATATCATATCAACATTTAATTCAAAAGATAAATGTAATGCTTTCTTCGAAACGACGCTCAGTAAACGTTTTTAACAGTAATGTACAATGAAGACAATCTTAGATTCATTAATTTGATAATCAAATAATTCTAGAAGTTAATTTGCTAATTATTCAATTAACAATTGAGTTCTCTTAGATTGAGAATCTAAACAGCTGACATAATGACCTAATTAATTGAAACCGACTTTCACGAATGATACGGCAAATTACGTGCTACATTTACTCTCGAGCCTACCAAAGCATCGCTATGACATATCAAACTTCAATAGTTAATATTTGTTCTGTGACATTTTTTAAAAGTTCACAAAAAGGACAACGACTCCTGAAGTTCACGGAAAGGACAGCACGCGAATGTCCTTGTGAGAAAAAATTAAATGGCGGCCTTGGAGTTTGGAACGAAATGACGTCACCATCGAACGACTTTTCGAGTGGCCAATCAATATTGACCCGGTTAAACAGCCATCAGAAGTATGGATGTTTCTTTGACCAAACAAATTGCCTACAATATACCTTCTCGACAGATCGTGGCGTGATGCCTGTTGTTACATCTTTCTGGCGATTTTTGGACTCTTGTTTCTATTTTTAGATCAAGATTCAAGAATAAACGAGTCCAAACGTCCTTTCAAAGTCTGTTTTTCTTGTGATAGATTTTGAGTTGTTTCTTACTCTTAGTATAATAAAGGAATTATGATAATTGTTTTATTGCAAATTATATTCATGCCCGAGGGCTAATTGCAGGAACAGAAAAAACATATGGTATTAAAAAAACCCAGGCCAGACAATTAGTTCACATAGAACTACTGATAACTACTAAGAAACTACTAGTAAAAACTACTGTCTTTTTTGAAGACAGAGGAAGACAATATTATGAAAAGCTTACGGTGTCAGAATTTATAATGCGTTTTTGATAAAGTTTTAAAGTTCGATTGAGTAAATACTACAGTGGTTAGTAGTTTTAGATACTGTTTGCATAAGTTGATAGCGGCTCTTGCGACCTTGAATAATGAAGGTCGCCAAGGCCTTTTGAAGAATAATGTAGAACAAAGGGCCTCGACGATGGTATGTAGAAAGTACGTAATCACAAGTTAATTCTACAATGGACAATGATATGGAAATCCACACAGGGGTGTAAAACTACTCGTCATTGGATAATCCCACTCATACGTTATATATAAAGCCACACCAAGTAAATTTTATGGATGACGTCCTTTGGAGACCCTATATCTAATGCGAGAGGGCGAAAAAAAAACAAGAAGGGCCCTAAAAACAAGATGCCTAGATTAGAAATATACTAAGAGACGACAAATGTTAGGACACAAATTGAATGAGGTGACACAGATTAACAAGCAAGAAGTCTTTTATTCATCATCAAAACAGCAATAAATCAGGTGGAACAGCAGTTGTCGTCCTGTCCTGTTTCTTTCACATTTTTGCAGGCCTGCAGAAACAAAGCATGTGCTCTTTACCCATTTCGCGTTACGGGTTTCACGTCAATCTATAACAATTTGCGGCAGTGTCGTGACTCTTTGGTCATAGTTACAGGAAGCGGAATTTCTTGTTTTTTTTCTAGGAACAGGCCAAAATCAATGCGCGCGAGGACGTCATCCATAAAATTTACTTGGTGTGGCCTAACACAGAACATGTCTATCAGATGAAGAGAAGCCCAAACTGGATTTCTATTCATTATAAATGAGTTATTTATTCAAACTTCTACAATTTATCCTAATTTTACTAGACTTACAGACAAAGAAAAAACTATTCTTCTTTTAACTTCCCAAAACCCACTAATTTTGGAAAAGGTGTACGTCTTCCATGGTCTAAAAAAAGAGAAGTCAAACATAGTTTTAGACATAGCTATAGCTCTAGACAACTACCTTTTATCATGTAGATTTTAGTTATTTTATACTACGTTTCATTGTTTGTTTGTAATCTGCAATTAGCCCCCCGGGCATGAATTTGCAATAAACTACACTATTATTTACAGTTCTGGTATCTAACTGAAGTCCTCTTTTTTAGGAAGAAGGGAGTAGGGTGGTGTGTGTGATAGAAGCTGTTTTCAGTGGTTGTCTGTTGGTTGGAAGTTCTGCTGCATCACCAAAGCAAATCGCTAGGAGGCCCATGATCCACATGCCTAATATCGATATCATCAAAATCCATCAGCAGCTTATAGGTTATTGTTAGGCCACACCAAGTAAATTTTATGGATGACGTCCACGCGCGCATTGATTTTGGCCTGTTCCAAGAAAAAAAACCCAAGAAATTCCGCTTCCTGTAACTATGACCAAAGAGTCACGACAGTGCCGCAATTTTATTCTTTATTTTTTGCAGGCCTGCAAAAATGTGATGAAAGAAACAGGACAGGACGACAACTGCTGTTCCGCCTGATTTATTGCTGTTTTGACGATGAATAAAAGACTTCTTGCTTGTTACACTGCGTCACCTCATTCAATTTGTGTCCTAACATTTGTCGTCTCTTAGTATATTTCTAATCTAGACATCTTGTTTTTTAGGGCCCTTCTTGTTTTTTTTTCGCCCTCTCGCATTAGATTTAGGGTCTCCAAAGGACGTCATCCATAAAATTTACTTGTTGTGGCCTTAGCCAGAATATCCAGAAGCACAAGCAGACAGCAAAACAATACCTCCATTTTCACGGAGGTAATTAGTCGACTTATCGACGTACTATGTTCCTGAAACCTCATACATGAATAGAATCATCCATCCAAGATATCATCTGAAGTTTCTAAAGCAAGTATTTTCACACAAAGTCAGCCTTGTAAGTTGTATGGACAACCTTCAGAATCTGTTGCAATTCCTATACTAACCGCGCGATGGCGCTTGACCTGCATGAATGTTGGTAATCTGAGTAGAGATTACAAAAACTTTCATTTGCTTGCAATATACGCCTTCTCCTTTTGACCAGTCCATGCCCGTAGCCAGGATTTTGAATGGGGGGGGGGGGTCTTCCTACTGCTTGAGTGGGCCTCGAGCGCCATAGGCGCGAGGCGAGCACCGAAGGCGCGAGGTTCCTAGGGCCCGGGGGTCCGGGGGTATGCTCCCCCGGAAAATTTTTAAAAATGAACCTTCTAAAATGGCATTTCGTGCATTTTTGAGAGGATTTACAAGAAAAAATCAGAGATAAATTTTTATTCAATGACAAAGGGAGCAGTTTTTCTACGATTCCAGTCTTCCGAACCCCCCGAACCCCCCCTGGCTACGGGCATGCAGTCTGTCTTCGTGTACATTAACACTGGTGCATAATATCACTCCTGGAAAAAGAATTTCAATATATCTTACCAGAACATGAGGGACGTTTTAGTAGAATTTAATTTTATAAATTGGATGCTATATCAAGCTTAGAGACCTTCCTATTTCTTGCTATATGAGGTCACATATATAAGCATGTATGTTGCTTTGTGTAAGTTAGCCAGGGAAAATTCCTAGACGGAATAAGCAAGAAAGTATAGTACTGGTAATGTATAAAACGCGAAATTCACAAAAGTCTTTAAAAATATTTCATTGAGGTGTAAGATATTCTTCCAAAACTTGTTTGTGACCCTTTCTTAGCCCCATATAGATAGGACATGTAGGACAAATCATATATAACTAGAGTTCCCCGATCTCATACCTTCGCCAAATGATGTTAATCTTTATGACTGACAAATTATAGATTAGATTGTTCCCCCCTGATTTAAGAAATAGGAACCTAATTTTCATGAATTATATCATTTTATCATAATCTCAACCAAAAGACAGTCTTATATTAACAAACAATGCATTCTAGCATTTCCTAATAAATTATGCAAATGAGGTCCTGATGTGAATAAATTATGTTTAATGATGTTCACCTCAATTTAACTTTCAAATACCACAAGTATGAAATTCTAGGCAGTTATCATTACATAATTATAAACTTTTCTAATTAATTATGCAAATTAAGTCATTATTAACATAATCAATATCTTCCTGTGTTTCTCTCGTTGTCAATTACCAATGTCACAAGCTTCAATTATCCTATCATGGAATGCAGATGATTTATAGAATTTCCCCATAAATTATGCAAATTACATCCATATTTGCATAATTGTCACATAAATATATTAAGCATCACGTAAGCTACCTACATACCAAAAATCACGACGATCCGTCAACTGGTTCTTGAGTTATCCCCTTTTGAATATTTTCAAGAATATATCCCTGCAGTTCCAGAGCAAGCCGCTAGGGGGCCTAAACTCACATCACTTCTTCCCCAGCACAAGAGCTACCTACCACCCAAATTTCATCACCATAGCATGTCTAGATCATGAGATATCAAAACCGGAAGTTCAGCTGCAGTACCATAACAAGCCGCTAGGGGGCCCAAAATCTAATCATTTTGAGGTCTCATCAAGACCTACCCACCTACCAAGTATCAAGACAATCCATTGAGGCCTTCTCAAGTTATCGTACGCGTGTTGACAGACACACACACACATACACGAACGCCCCTGAAAACATAACCTTCTTGGCGAAGGTAAAAATCCGCTGATCTTTTACTTTAATCTATGTCAAGTCATGCCTAATCATCTGTTCTTTATATAAGCGATTTCGGCTTAACAAAATCTCCCAATGATTTCAAACTGTCATTCCTACAATGATGCTATTGTCAACTTACCTACAAGAAATCCATTGCTAGAAACAGGTGGTTGTCAGTTGCAATAAAGATCACTTTACGCTTGCATTGTTTGCGTAGGTTTCACAATTTGCCGTGGTACACGAACATAAGTTTTATCGAAGAAGAATCTACCCCAGAAAAGACGGTTTACCTTGCCCATTTCCTTTCGGTCAATGGAATGTTCCAGAAATACCGGTTAACTACCGGTTAACCCCGCCCAAACGAATGAATCTGTATGAACACAAATGGGACTTACTCTTGCTCTTAAAGTAGGGGCATTAGACACTTTACATGTACCTGTATATTGACCCCGAGGAGCATCATCAAAAGCATCGAGTTACCAATGGTAACTCATTCGTTATAAATAGAGTAGCAGGTAAACATAAAGTCTTTTTTTTACCCCTGCGGGCTAATGGTACATCCCAGGTGAGTCACGTCGGGGACTTCCGCTTTCGAGTCGTCGGCGGTGACAGTGTAGCCAGTCGTGAGCTGAAATGAGATTTTTTTCTGTCCGATTAGAGGTAAAAGGTGAGTTTTACATTTATTATTAAACTGACTACCGATCGTAATCAACGCTTTACCAACAGCGACACAGCTGGCAAAACTGAACTCAAGGCGCGGTCACATTTCCCAACCCGGGGCCCGGGCGGGCAGTCGTTTGGAACGAAAATTATGATATGAGACAGCAAAACACAAAATAAGGTTTGGAAAATTAACCTTGAGCACTATTTGTGTATACTCTTTGTACAAATTGTTTCTTTTTCGTTCACGCAAACAACCCGGCCGGGCCCCGGCTTGGAAATGTGACCGTGGCCTCAGCGGGGGTTGCATGTACTTCTCGTGACAAGGGTTTGTTAGTCTGCCCCCCTCCCCCAGTATTGCGGTTCTAATGATAGAAATTCACCTTGGTTTCACTAACATTTATCCCTGGCTATCATAAATTGTGCAGCTACACCCGGGAACCTTTTCTTTCACAAATTCTAACTGCAGTACTAAGCCATCGGGGACTAATATGAGTAAGTTTTTCGTCTAGCTTTTGTGTCAAATTATTGCATTTTCACACGGTCTTTGTACTTGTTCAGTCGAAAACGAAGGTCTCTCAAGAGCACACGGCGGTCTGTTACTACGGCATTCTTTCCCATTGCTATGCGCGTTCGAAAAGGTATCGGGTTACAAGACGCTGTTTTGGCCTGTTTTGGACTACCCGTAAAATATTTGAAAATAAACAAATGATATTTAGGGGTAAATTTCGTCAAATTAAAATGAAATTATCGTCTTAACGTCCTTTAAATGTTAGCTTTTTATGTTAAATCACTGATTTTTAAAAATTTTGCTCAGAAAGACGATTATTTTCGGGTTTTCGAGCACAAGTCATGTCACGTTTTTAGGCAAACATCGTTCAAACCTGGCTACGTATATTACCCCAGATCCCCGATTTTTATATTTTTCGCAGACTAGGAATAAGATAAAAAATCGTGTTTTAGGGATTTTTTAATTTCTGATTTTAAGTCTAGTTTTTGTCGACATATTGGTGAAAAAATGGCATTTTTTGACATTTTTCTCACTAAATTACCCATAATTCAAAATTGAGGCCATTTTTAAAAAATCCCTAAAACACGATTTTCGGGACAATCGTTACAGTCATTTTGAGCCGTAAATGGGGTATGTTTGACTCTCCATGTTTCCAGGTTTGAACGAGTTTTGGAGACATGTCATATCGCCAGAAATTGTGCATTGTGTTATTCATACTGGCGTAAAGAATCATTACAGTATTCAAGGTCACCCAAGGATACGACAGTAGCTTCGCTACATGTTACATACCCACCAAAAATTATAGCGGACATGTACTGTCCAGGAAACTCTTTGTATCTATAGAAAAGTGTTGTTTTTTTATCTATTGCGAGGCACTCAGGCAGAAGGGCTTGTTTTGCCGCTTTATTGTAAATGACCGCAGGTGACCCCGAAATAGAACGCGGGTTCGATTCGAATTGCCCAGATCGAACACGATCGAACACAGTTCGGATTCTATGAAATGTGGGAACTTTGCAGCCCAGATTTGACCACCGTGGCAGTTGTACTAGTATGTGTCCTTATCTCATCCGCCCGAGGTAGAGTCGGTGGCGCGGTATTCTATACCTTACGCCACATTGCCTTATCTGGGCGATTCGGGTCACATCTTTAGTAGTAGGTCCTAGTACCTAGTGTAACGAGCCATTTCTAGCCCTGTCCCCCACCCCAGGTTTTAGGGAATAAAGAGAGGAGACGAGAAGTGTACTTCTAAAGTGTATTCCAGAGTAGAACATGTGGTAGACTCATCCAGTTTAAAGCGGCACAACACTGTATTAGCCCTATGGGGATTTCTATAGTTAAGGACCCCAAAGTGACTCAGTTCGACTCACTGAAAATCATAGTAGGGTGCACAAGCAAGGTTCAGATTTTTGATATGTTTAAATTCGGGGTATAGTGTACAAAATATTTGAAAATGAGCTTAGATTTGCCGGCTAGTTCTTTTCTCATGCCCTCTTTTATTAGCGCCACTGCGGAGGTCATGGAACTGCAGCTGAGGCACAGTACTAGGCGTGACAAGTATCCAAGCGCAAATCTACGCCGACTGAACACGCACCATAATTCAACTTTTACAGTCTCAAAACTGACGTATTCCTCTAACATTTACCACAGGTTCTATCTCGATGCCATGCACAAAACAATCTCTTCACCCTTCTCTAGTATTGTGCAGCACTACTTTGTGCCCGGACTAGTTTTGCGGGGTTCGCCTATAAATACTGTGTTGTGTGGCCTTAACCCCGCCCAAACGAATGGATCTAAATATAGTATATAAATGACACCATGGGACTTACTCTTGCGCTTAACGTAGGAGCAACAGGCACTATACACAGTATATTGACCCCAACGAGCATCAAAAGCACCAAGTGACCAGTGGCAATTGCAACTCATTCGTTATAAATAGAGTAGCAGGTAAACAAGAAGTCTATTTCTACCCCTGTGGGCTAATGGTACATCCCAGGTGAGTAACGTCGGGACTTCCGCTTTCGAGTCGCCGGCGATGACAGTGTAGCCAGTCGTGAGCTGATATGAGAATTTTTCCTGTCTGATTAGAGGTAAAAGGTGAGTTTTACATATATTATTAAATACTACCGATCGTAATCAACGCTTTACCAACAGCGACACCGCTGACAAAACTGAACTCAGCGGGTCTTACATGTACGTCTTCATAGCAAGAATTTGCTAGTCTGCCCCCCTCCCACACTAGTACGCTACTATTGATAGAAATCCACATTGGTTAGTACTCTTTCAAGTACGCTACTATTGATAGAAATCCACATTGGTTAGTACTCTTTCAAGTACGCTACTATTGATAGAAATCCACATTGGTTAGTACTACTTTCAAGTACGCTACTATTGATAGAAATCCACATTGGTTAGTACTACTTTAAGTACGCTACTATTGATAGAAATCCACATTGGTTTGTACTACTTCAAGTACGCTACTATTGATAGAAATCCACATTGGTTAGTACTACTTGAAGTACCCCTGACAATCATAAAGTGTACAGCTACACCTAAGGACTTCTTCTTTCACAAATACTAACTGCAGTAGCGATCGGGGACTGATTTGTAGTAAGTTTTCGTCTAGCTTTTGTGTCAGTTTATGGCATTTACTCACGACCTCAAACTTGTACAGTGATTGACATGACTTCCGGGGATAATTCTGGACAGTGACAGGCTGTGTGTTTCTGTGCCCACTCAGGCTAACTCTTAAGTATAGGCTGTTTTAGCAGTGTCAAGATAGTTACGTACAACGTAAAGAGCGTTCTGCTATATTAAAAAATCTTTTGTATTTGTGACATATACCCCTTCAACATTTTGTGCAATTATCCCACATCCAGTTCTGACATTTATGGTTCGCACTAGAACAGCGCACATAAGGCACACCTTTCAGTGTGTAAGACATTGTGATAATCATAAAAATATCATCGTGTAATCAATTCAGTTATTGCCTTTTATAATGTACATTTACAGACAACGTTCATCTCTGATTCGTGCAATTCTCATCCTTTCTCAGGTCAATGAACCCAGACGTGTCCAACAGGCAAAGAAGTGCGTACAGTGTGCCTTTCCAGTTCCAATTTAATTCATTTCTATTCAGCACCAACTGTAACTTTATTGGTAACGGAATATTAAGACACTGTGTGATGTGAGGACACTAGTGGAAAAGAAGTTCCAAATCTTACTAGGAACACAGCAAAGACCAAAAAAACAGATTTTAATTATATAAGAAAAAGAAAGACTGCACGTTGGCAAGAGAGTCGAACATGACGGACACTAAGCTGTCTACAGCGGCGGAAGAACTTCAGGAACTAGATTTTATCTTTAAAAGTGGTTCTGATCTGGATGTTGTAGAGAGGGGATACGGACGGAAATTGGTTCACGCTATAAGTGGTCAAAATACGGTTCTGGAGCGCGAAGCTTTAAAAAGTCTGGGAGATGTGTACCTGCATAAAGCAAACAAGAGCACTGGTAAAGCAGAGAATTTTAACAAGGCGTGCTCGTTGTACGCAGAACTCTTACGGTATTACACCAGTCTTGAGGAGAAAGAAGTTGTTCAACATCGCATCAGATATGCTGAGAAACTGGCTCTTCATCACCGTACCGTAAAAGTACCTGTAAGTAATTCAGGCAACAGCACGTCGGCTGTGTGGACGACCCTAAACAAAGTAAAAACCAAGTTTAAAGGGTATGGAACAACCCCCCTGATTAAAGGCTATACAGACTCCTTCGTAAATGGAATTATCGAAAGAAATGAACTTCTGAAGATAGAATCGTTGAAGAGCCTGGGAGATCTGTACCTAGAGAAAGGAAGGGTTGACAAGGACGAGACAGTGTTCAGTAAATCAGCTGGTCTGTACCGAGCGGCGCTGGACCGCTGTGAAGATTCAGGCGGCAGAGAAACACTACAGCACCGCATCAAGTACGCGGAGAACCTGGACCTGGACAGGGCGGAACGAAAATTTGCGGCTGCACTCCAAGCCGTTCATGTTCGAGGTAATTACATGTTCATGTCATAGGCGTACATAATTTATTTCTGCTAGATTACTTCAGATTTGGATTATACAGAATAGCTTTGTATTTTTTTTTTGTTTCCGAAACTTGTAACACGATATAATGTATTTTGTAAAACGCTGCTATTCTAAAAGGTATCGTTATTATAATTATCGTTTCAACTGCCATTTGGTAATAATGCAATTGCAGGTCAACACTGGAAAGAGGTAGAACCTCTATGCAAGTTAAGCGAAGTCTACTTGAAGAGAGGAATGCTGTCAAAAGTCGGAGGAGATTTCACTAAGGCCGCAGCACTCAGCAATGCAGCACTGATCCGAGCAAGAGCAGAAGACCAAGAGGGTATCAAACAATCAATCCAGAAGGTAACCCATTTGTTTGTGAAGCACGTCATAGGTATAGAGAAAACGGTACCCATTGATGATGATGTGGAAAAACACAAGTCGGTGCTGATGGAACACCGTGGTTACGCGGAAAATGAGATTAAAAGAATTGATCAACACGTAGATCCTTTTAATCTTGATAAAGATGACCCAAACATTGGAGATATGGAGAAGAAGAGAGCAGAAGCAATCAAAGCCATGTTTGACACTATTGTGCATCAGCGAAAGACTTTCATAATTGGTCTTGTAGATGAGTGTATAGTGGTAATGGGCCCCCCTCCCTGTAAGTACGCCATGATAGGACTGGGTTCACATGCCACAGGACTGGTAACACCATACTCTGACCTGGAGTTTGCAATTTTGATAGAGAAGGAAACGGAGAGCATTGTGAACTATTTCCACAACCTCACGCATTACCTCCATCTGAAAGTGATCAATCTTGGGGAAACCATTCTCCCGGCCATTGCGATTAAGTCTCTTAATAACTTTGAGTCAGTTAACAAGCTAGATGACTGGTTCTACGACTCTGTAACACCCCGTGGGTTCTCTTTTGACGGTGCAATGCCACATGCATGTAAAACCCCACTAGGCAGAGGCAAAAACTCCCTTCTTATCCGCACACCACGTGACATGGTTAGAGTTCTGGAAGATGACATTTCGCTTTACCGTAAGAAAGGCTACCACCTAGCGACTGTCTTGGGAAATGTTTCATTGATTACCGGAGAGCAGGACTTGGTTGATGAGTATATAGCAATGTGGGATCACAGAATTCAAGAAAATGAGAAGAACGTGGCCAGGCTTCTAGCAAACACTATGTTGACTGAAAATGCTGAAATGTTTGAAAGGCAGAATCCAACGGACAAAATGCTGGATGTAAAGAAAGAAATCTACCGATTTTCCAGCCTTGCGGTGTCTTGTTGGGCACTACTTGCTGGTATACAGCCGACTACAATCTGGGAGACTATTGAGAAGATGCGAAAGGAAGGAGCCATCAGTGATGAGAGCAAACATCACTTGATGGTGCTGGTCAGCATCTCAGCAGAACTGAGGCTACGAACATACATGAACAATCATGGTCAAGTGGAAAACATGTCAGCTTTATCGTCAATGCCAACAACTTCTGGCTTCGAGCAAATATCAAAGAAAGTCTTTTACGTCTCGAATTCAAAACAACTCATGAGGTACTATTACACAGCAATACCGCTAAAGAACTCCTTACAATTTTTGCAAGATGACAGCAGACAATCACTACAATCGATAACTCTATTTGATGATTCCTTAAAGGTACAAACAGAAGTATACCTAAGTCTTTGTGACTACCAAAACTATAAGACATACACGGAGCAAGCATTACACAAAGAGCTACTGAAAAATGGCAAAACAGCTACTAATCTTGACATCGCTAGCTTACTCGTTAAATTGGGGAACGCCTGCTTCCACATTGCCGGTTACAAAGAGGAAGTAATTTATTTGGTACAGGCACTACAAATGTACAAGAGTATCTACGGTGAGAGTACTGCTCATTCTGATATCGCAAAATCACTTAGCAACTTGGGTACCGCCTGGAGTAATCTTGGTAATCACAGTATGGCCATTGACTATTATAAACAGGCATTACGAATGCACATGAACATCTATGGTGACAAGACTGCACCCCGTCACATCGCCGGGTTAACCAACAACATAGGTAACTCATGGAGCGTCCTCGGCGATTACCGAAATGCCGTTAGCTGTCATGAGAAAGCACTGTCGATGATGAGGCTCACCTATGGTGAGAGCACTGTGCATCCTGATATCGCCACGTCACTTAATAACTTGGGTAACGCCTGGATAGACCTTCGTAATAACAGAAAGGCAGTTGTCTATTTTGAACAGTCACTGCAAATGAGGAGAGATATATACGGTGAAAGCACTGCTCATCTTGGCATTGCTTATTCACTTAACAACTTGGGGCTTGCCAGGGATAACCTTGGTGATCATAGAAAGGCCATCAGATGTCATGAGATGTCACTGCAAATGAAGCGGAGCATCTATGGCGAAGGCATTGCACATCTCGACATTGCTTATTCACTCAACAATTTGGGTATCTGCTGGACTAAGCTTAATGACTGCCGTAGAGCCATCAGCTATTATGAGATGTCACTGCAGATGAAGTGGCGTATATATGGTGCGCATACTCCGCATTTCGACATTGCAAACTCACTAAACAACATGGGTATGACCTGGAAACACATTGGTGATCACAGAAAGGCCATTGAATATTTTGAACAGGCACTAGAGATGAGGCGGAGTATTAATGGCAAAGACGCTGTAGATTCTTACATAGCGGAATTACTATACAACTTGGGCAACGCCTGGGGACACATTTGTGACTATAGAAAAGCCATCAGCTATCTTGAACAGGCACGTCAGATGATGATGAGGATTCATGGCAAGAGCAATGCATATCCTGTCACAAATGAAAAAGATGATTAAAAGATAAAATTATGGACATTGCTTTTACCCTTAACCCTTGTCCTGCTGACATTCCTGGCACAATATTTTTCAATAACTTCATGTCTTAATTAGATCATAGACCCCCAATAGGTGGCGTAATGTTGGTGGTCCAGCGAAGACTTCCTGGTATTCGTCCGCGCGGATGGTTATGTGGCCTTTTCGCCTGACCGCCGGGATTGTACGTTCTATATGCGTTATGGGTGTGTTCGGGCCATCGAAGATAGCGATAAACTTATCGCATCGATTTTAATTAAATTCAAATTTTGGAAACATTAGGTTCTGAGCTTCTTCGAGTATTAAGCCGTTACCCTGGGAAAATTCGTTTTTTCCATGCAGCCATGGTTAAAAATGACGAAAAAATGACCCCTTATTTAAAAATGTACTTCGATGTGCCTTATTTACCCCTTGCTAAATTGGGCACACAAAATATCAATCAAGTGTATTGATAAGCGGCACGGCACCCCTTTCCACCAAAAGAGTGAAAAATTCCGACCCGCGTTTAGTACAGAAATGACAGCCCGTCCGGCTGAGGGTGTCAAATTGCTCCGAACACGGAAGGAAACTCCGGTCCGAGACCTTAACGTAGGAGCAACAGGCACTATACATTTACCTGTACATTGAACCCCGACAAGCATCAAAAGCACCAAGTTACCAGTGGTAACTCATCCGTTACACAGCGCACGGGCCGGTCGTTGATCGGTATGACTTAGGGCGTAATGAAGCCTGGATCGAGTCGTTTATTTTGCACGCACTTGGACCCCCCCCCCAAAAAAAAACTGGGGTGTGCCTTAGGGAATGTTTTCATTCGCTAGTTTCTTGAATGTGTATAGTCATAACTAATACATGCTATAGAAGGGTTTAATCTGCAGTACCACTGTCAACCGCACTAAGAAAAGTCACAACTTCGACCGTCATTTTGCCAAATGTCTGCATTATTTAACCTTGAATATGAATCTGTGACCATGTAAAAACCAAGAATAGCAACTGCCACTTACACAGTATATTCCATACTTCATATATCATTTTGATGGTATTTGTGAAAAAAGTTCCGTTACAATATTGATTTTACGATCACAATAGAAACTCTATAACACCTAATTGATTTTTTTTTCATCGTTGGTTTCAGGGGTGAATTCCCACAAGAAACCTAGTGTTACACCTGGAGTCTAGGGTACGCCTAGACCTCTATCAAAAACAACATTACACAGCAAACAAGCCAAGAGAAAAAATACACTCTAAAGTCTCTGCTTTATTCGTTCTAGTCGTCATGACGTCACCATAACACCATATTCACCTTCACCTTGCCTTATCCTCATCTGGATTTTCGGGAACTCTGGTAGCATCCAGCACGAGCCTTTTTCATTCTCATATATCACCTGCACGTACCAAAAAACTACCCGACGTAAGGTAATCTATAACCTAAATACAAAACCAGCTTCGTTCAAGAGATCCATTCGTGTAGATACAGTTACTAGAGGATTCTTTCAACATTGAGAAGTTGGAAGCTGCAAGTCCCGGGCCTAATCTCGAGCTCTCGCGAGACTACGCCTTTCCGTGAACAAGATAGACTCATCTGATAGTCATCGAAAATTTGGTTGTCAGTATCCTTACCCTTCCAACTTGTCACTGTTAAAAAAACAGCTTACAATAAAAAAAAAACATAATCTACAAGATCCGGACCACAATCGACTGCATCAAGAGAAGTCACAACTGAAACCGTCTAATTGCCAATGTCCGTTTTATTTGACCTTAAATGTGACCTTAATCCCCAGCATTATGATGAAAACAGTAATTATAGTGAAATTCAAATTATCAAAAAGACAACATTACAATATTTCAAACAAATATGATATGATATGCTCATTATACACCTAGTTAATACCTAGGAGGTACCTTTAAAGGTAATGATGCTTTTGAGTTGTGCATGTTTAAGTTGTATGTATGTATGTATGTATGTATGTATGTGTGTTTGTGTTTATTGTCGCGTATAAATGTGCATATATGCTGATATATATATAAACATTGCGTGTTCCTCTACTAAGATTATATTCATACAGCCATATATTAGTACAGAAACATTTATTTTAAAGGGATTGAAATATTATAATTTTATATGTTTAAATATGCTTTTCTTACAACCAATTCATGTTAATAATCCACGCCTTTGCATATACGTAAAAATTCCAATTTAAGATAATGCAATTGAGGTATTCTTTGACAAAGGGAAAGTGACTACTAGGCTATTATATAAAATGATATGAAAAATATACAAGCTACAAAGTATACATAGCATGTATGACTATATATTATTAGACAAACACACTATGACACTAAGTAATTTCAAAACGACTGCATGAGAATATACTTTTCATGGTCGAAATACCTTTATCGATTGCGGAGTTTTTAGATACTGCCCTATATGGCCGCAATACATTAATTGTTACATGTCAATGTGTATTTGATTTGTAAAGTCATTAATAGAAATCGCGGTATCATGTATAATAGAACAAGCAATCAGAAAGTGATATCAGAAACTACGTTGAAAAATCACGCGGGATGGTAAATTCCGTTCTGTTCTTCGCAAGCTCCGAAGAGAACTATGTTTCCCGTCTATTTCACAGACAAACGCACACAATTAGGGTAGTGACCTAACGAAACAATGATCGGGAGCCAAACAATTGTGACCGTACAGTGAAAGGTTGAGCCACAAATGACCTGACGAGGGGTAGGGTAGGGAGGAAGGGTCATAGGGTAAAAGGGGTGGAAAAATTAGTATCAGGGTAGGGGTCACATGATTTGTTTGTTCAGCAGACGGGAAACGACATTCCTTTGTTGTTCTGAGGTGGATGGAAGCGATCTACCCTAGTTCTTCTGCAGACCCTGGTACACCGTTGGCCTCAGGTCCTGGTACACCGATGGGTTCAGGTCCAGGTACTCGCCGCTAAGCGGCCTGTCTTCAAGTCCTGGTACGTCTCCGCTGGCTTCAGGTCCTGGTACGTCCCCACTAGCTTCAGGTTCAGGCAATCCACTGGGCGGCTTGGCTAGGGGACGGGGGCGGGGCGGGGGCAAGGGTACCATGGGATAGGTGTAGTAATCGTCAGTTTTAGTTGTAGATCGCTGGGACGCCGTCCTGCCAGGATTCCGTACATCCTCGTACACTTCTTCACCTGAACATTGCCAGATGCAAAAGTGAATATTGTAAAATACACCAGTTAAAGTAGCAGGTGCACGAACGAGATAGCCTGGGTGCCATCATCCGTAGTTTTCGCCCGCTCCCCAATGTCGCTGGCTATCAAGGGGTCTGGACTTGCTGACATTTGTAACGTCTGAAATCTGCATATTCGTTCAGATTTTGAACAAGCGCGCTGATTGGTCCTATCCCTTTTGGGGGGAGGGGGGCGCTCTTCTAGGAAAGGTGTACACATAAATAAGCTAAGCCATTCGATCCTATCTTATATTGTGCTGCTCGTGCTAGCTCAATACGTGACGTCATTACAAATCGTTTCATATTTCATCAAGTCCATAGCCCGTGGTAGCCAGCGACAATAGGGCTGGGGAGCGGGCGAAAATTACAGAGGATGGCACCCAGGCTACGAACCAGACAAATGTTATATGAAAATAGCCAGAGCCAGGTAGCATATGTCACCTACCTTCAGCGATTGGAAAGATCTGGGATACTATATACCTAAAAGGTCTTACCTATCTAGCTGCTTATTAAATAAGCAAATGCTACATTGGTATATCCTATGTTTGTCGCCTATCCATACGTTATTAATTTTAAGTATAGATATAAAACGTTACATTTAGTAGAAATGTGTATTGGAAAATAGTCTTAAATGTAACCTAACACCACAGGGTGTCTGCTACAGCACCAGGTACCATGGTGACAGACATCTGGTCCAGGTCATTGACCTTTTTTCAAAAACTTGATTGTTCATAGGGTACAGGTACATACGTGACTAGTAACAGTATAAGCCATTGACAAATATACAGTAATTACAATTAAGGCCATGGACCTTATTTGTTTGGAGAAGAAGAAACTGAGCAAAAACAATATGTTTTCCTTCCGCGAAGGTAAACAAAAAAATGCTATCCTCTGGCCTCCTAGTTAGACCCCCTTTCCCATAGACGAAATGTTGCCTCTCTATCCCTCGTTTACAGATATTTTCATGGTCACTGATCTGCAGAACTCACCCAACTAGTTCCACCACTCAGAACTTTTAAGCATTCCACAAGGTTCTCCACTAGCTCACACAACTTCACTGTCCAAATTCCTTGTTCGAAATCTTTTTACAGTGACAGTTTCTTTCCCCGTACGGCCAAGCTTTGGAATTCCCTCCCTGACAAGTGTTTCCCACCAACCTACAATCTACAGGCTTTCAAATCAAACGTTGACCGCCATCTCGTGACATTAGCCATGTTTCTCTCATATTTCTAGTTCAATGACGAGAAGTGGTCGTATACTAGGCCTTGCATTGAACTACTCCGTTAAAAAAATAATAATATGGAGCTAGACGAAGAAAAGAGTATCCCATGATTTTGTCCTCACCAGTTCTTGTGCGGTATCCGTGGTTGGTGTGTGTGGTGAGGTCCCTGGGTACCAGTGAGGAGAAGTAGATTCGCAGGTTCTTCCCCAGACCCTTTCTCAAGTTCTGCAGATGGCTGGTCAGGACTATCGACGTCAGGATCTGGACCAATATGGGTTCAAAACGTGTTTCTCTGTTTTTAGACCTGGGACAAAAATGCTGTGTCTAATCTCCAAGCAGATACCACAGTGACAAGTTTGATAACCAAATCAAATTGATATTTGAGTGATAAAAATGTTGTTGATTTGTTATCAACATGTTTTCCTCATTTTTATTTCAAGTAAGGTGGTATTACTCATGTCATCATGACACAAGTACATTGTCTGTCACATTGAAGGTCAAACCTGAAAGTTTATCTTGAATTTGTAAAATTTGTAGTAGAGGGGATTCATTCCTCAAGCTAACCGACATCTCACACACGCAGTCTTCCCTCAGTAACACATTTGGAGCCGCATAGTTCAATAGTTATAGAGTGTAACATTTTACGTACCGTAAAAATAAGGTGACCGACAAACTGTGCTGCTGACGAAAAGTATGTTTTCCACAATCCCTGGTACATGGAAACAAAACAACATGGCTTAAAAGTAAGAACCAGTTGACCAGTATTATGGGTTGTCAAATGCTTTCTCTATTTCATCCACACACATTCTATGGACATACAAGCAAACCTCACCTCACCTCACAAGCAAACACATCAAAACAAAACCTCTGTACACTGGCATAAGGCCATGTTGATTTGATTATATGGATGACATCTGCGCGCGCATGAATGTTCGGCCGTTTCCAAAAAAAGTTTTCAACCACGCTGTAAATTGTACAAAACAGTTCCAAAATGAGCAAAAATACACGGTAAAATATCTAAAAACCATACCAATGTCGTAGAATGCAAAAAAAAAGACGAAAATGTAAAGAAACAAATTTGAAGAGTAGATCATTCAACAAACCATATTCTGTGTCATTTGTTTAACTTTCATGACCACGTAGATTTCGTATTGAAAGCAACTTTTTTATTTTGCCAAACTTTTTTTATTCGCACGCTCGCATCAGTTTTGGGGTTCCCAGAGGATGTCATCCATATAATCAAATCAACATGGCCTAATAAGAAAAGGTGAGCGAGAAGTCCAAACCGCAAGGAGGTAGTTTGAGTCATCTATTTCGACCAAAAAGGTCCCATTTCATTCTGTGCAGAGCATAGGGGTGGTGCCTATCTTTATTTCGGCAGCCCTTGGGCCACACAGTTGTGCAAGCACTTTAACAGCAGGTGGCTAGTCCACTGGATTTTGACCAAACATTTGCATTATATTCAAATTTAAGTTGTTGCTTCTTGGATTTTTTCAGAAAAAAAATGAAGCGACAGGGCGAAATAAAAAAAAATTTTAAAAACAGGCCAAGGCACCCCATGTTGGCCAGAAATGTTGAGATATGAGCCATGAAGTCAACATACCAGACTGGTTTATAATTAAAACTTACAATAGATTTTGAACTTTAAATGACACAAAGTTGCATTGTTACATCAAAAAACTTTAACGACTAGGAAGAAAGGGACTTTCGTAGGGGCCAAACTATGTCTTTCATTGAGCATCTAACGTTAGCAGTTGATTCAGAACCTAAAATCTTTTTTTTTCGAATCGGAAAAAAATGGACAGGGCGACTCCGAGAAGCAACAAATTAAATTGGTGTGGCCTAAAGGCACAAACAAACAAACAAAATACAAAGGGTGTTGCACATGTACTCACCGCTCCGGATTGACCAGCATGATGAGGTATGCTATGTTCAGGCCCAGACCCATGACGTTGAGTGCCCCTTGACCAATCAGCCAAAACCACAGCAAGCACTGGAAATCCTTTGGACAAAAAGAAGCAACATAACTTTTTTTTCAATAATATGTAGTACATGATATCAAAATTCAGAACTGATGGTATAATTTTGAACTAGAAAGGTAACGTTTGCAAGCAAAAACACTAGAATTCCGAGATTTCATACCTCCATGAAATATGATCTTGATATGTAAATGTAAATTTCTTCTTTAATTGTTCAAATGACCTCTGCATTAACATGATATATGCATCGTGATGTATGTTAACTTTTGATTAACTTACAGATGTCCCAAGTATGACATTCTCATCATTCACCATTACGAAATCATAGAATTTTCACAGTAATTATGCAAATTAGGTCATCATTTGCATAATTAGTATCTGTTGAAGTTCCGCCTGCCATAGGTTACATAGTATAATGTAAAACACTGTAATTATAGAATTTCCTCATTAATTATGCAAATAAAGTCCTCATTTGCATAATTTACATTAATTATGTACATCTCTCTCTCAGCTACCTACACACCAAAAATAATGAAAATATGTTGTTCCTGTCTGGACTTATTGGCTTTTAAACATTTCACCAGAAAGTGCCCTGCAGTTCCAGAACAAGCCGCTAGGGGGCCCAGACTCATATGACTTCTTCCCAAGCACGAGAGCTACCGTCCATCAAAATTTCATGACCCTAGCATGTCCAGATCGTGAGATATCAAAACCGGAAGTTGCGCTGCAGTACCAAGGGAAGCCACTAGGGGGACCAAAATCTCATCATTTCCAGTTTTCGTCACACCCTACCAACACACCAAGTATGAAACCCATCCATCCAGGCGTTCTTGAGTTATCTTGTTGACCAACAGACAGACGGACGGACAGATAAACGCAACTGAAAATATAACCTCCATGACACATTTCATGGAGGTAATAATGTCAGCCTTCACATGCCTAAGCCTAACAAACTACTGCTTTGGGTACTATTCTTACTCAAACACATCCATATACATGTACATGGTGACCAGCCCCTCCAACTCTGTACTGCTACATACATGTAATGTAACCCAGCACCACAGGGTGTCTACTACAGCACCAGTTACCATGGTGACAGACGTCTGGTCCAGGTCATTGACCTTATGTGCTTGGAGACTGAGAAACAGAGCCAAAAGCAATATGATTTCCTTCTGGGATGTTAACATAAAAAGAAACCTGGTCCAGGCCATTGACCTTATGTGTTTGGAGAAGAAGAAACAGAGCAGCAAAAACAATTTGTCTTCCTTCTGCGAAGGCAAAAAGTAGAAACTTACCGGACTTGTGCACCAAGAGTACATGGCCAGTATTGCAGACATCACCATGGACAGGAAGTAGGTACTGAGTAGCATGTAAGCCACCACCAGAACTTTCTTCCAGTATTCATCTGGAACAGGCGGAGCATTTATGCTTTTAGTCGACAAGCATCAGGGGTGCAAAAGTATACAGTGCAATTTTACGGAATACAGTACAATCGTATTTGTATACAGTGCACTAGTAAAATTGCACTGTATACTAGTAAAATTGCACTGTATACTAATACGATTGCACTGTATTCCGTAAAATTGCACTGTATTCCGTAAAATTGCACTGTATTCCGTAAAATTGCACTGTATTTCGTAAAAATTGCAGTATTCCGTTAAATTGCCCTGTATTCCGTAAAATTGCACTGTATTCCGTAAAACTGCACTGTATTCCGTAAAATTGAATTGTATTCCGTAAAATTGCACTGTATTCCGTAAAATTGCACTGTATTCCGTAAAATTGCACTGTATTCCGTAAAATTGCACTGTATTCCGTAAAATTGCACTGTATTCCGTTAAATTGCACTGTATTCCGTTAAATTGCACTGTATTCCGTCAAATCGAATTGTATTCCGTTAAATTGCACTGTATTCCGTAAAATTGCAATGTATTCCGTAAAATTGCACTGTATACTCTGAGCATGAAGAAAGAAAATGGAGATGTCAGTCTTCCGAAAAAGTGTTTTGGGTTTCGTCAATGTATTTGAACTGTAGAGGGGATTGCGCGATGTAATTAAATCGGGTATTACACCACTTCCTGAATTCTGCATCCCCAATTCGATATTGTCTTGCCAATTTGATACTGTCTTGTAGCCACCAAAAGATATGCTTGGACTTTATATAAGGGGTTCTTCTAGGCTAGAAAGTAGCTAGCTCCCGACTGATGGGCTCTTATGCCTATCTAGCCTCTAGCAGGCTTCGGAAAGCGGCTTGTACTGAGAGTAGAAATTCGCTGTTTTCTTAGCGCTGACTAACTCCCGTAGCACGTCGCATGTCTATCATGTGGCCAACTTCTACTCTTTCCAGCCGCTTACCAAAGCCTGATAGAGACTACTATAAAGTCATACTTAGGGAAAATATACTATTAGATAAGTTCTTACTAGCATGAAAGTTCATGTGTGTTGGTAGTTGCATGTTTAAAGTTAAAACTTCTGGTCCAACACATAAAAATTATCTCACCTAGAGCTTTCGACCAGTAACTCTGGTCTTCCTCAGTAGACTGACCCAGTGAGGCTTGTCACGTGGCTTCTTTGAAGTGTAACGTCAACACTGGGTCAAAGGTATCTGGTAGACGATGTCGGCCCCCGTCGCGGTCAGTCTACTGAGTCAGTCTACTGAGGAAGACCAGAGTGACTGGTCGAAAGCTCTACTAAGGTGAGAGAATTTTTTTTGCGTTGGACCAAAAGTTTTAACATTAAACAAGTTCTTACTAGGATATCCCACTGTGATCTGTGTCAGAGCTTCCCTCAGTACGTCGTTCTGCAGACCTATACACGTGTACACCGTCAGGCCGAAATCAGCCATTACAACACCTGCAGGAGAAAATAAGGAATTAAAGATGTCACACCTCCGCCAAGCATTTGTATTTCTAATCAAACTTCAGTAAACTTCGCATTAGTGACCACCCATTAAGTATAGAATCCGGCAGGCATAGCCGTACCCCTCTGAAAGATAGAACTTCTGTAATTATTTATATGTTGAAAACGAGATACACTTTCTGCTTGACCGTACATTATATAAAGATGAACGCCAAGAGCTACTCGATACTTTACAATTAGACAAGATATATAAGAAAATGTCAAAGCAGGACATGTTTAACCACTTGATGTCACATAAGAACGAATGTACAGTAGACCAACTATGTAATTATGTTTCCAAATGTTTCAAAAAGAGAGAAGAAAGGGCAAGTAGCAGTAGATGATAGGTAGTTTATAGCATTGTTGTAATGTATAGATTCCTAGCACTTTGCATTAGAATATAGCGTACCAGTATGAAATACTCATGTTTAACATACTGGATATCCTCTTGTGCATTTAGCCCATCTGGGCAAGAACATGCAATAAAGATTCATATCATATCATATCATATTATATCATATCTAATGAACTTAGACATACCTACTCTCCAAGCAGAGGTTGACGGTGGAAGATCGTTTGCTTTTTATATACTAGTATGATTCGTTTTTTTTTGTCTCTACCACCACTAGTGAAAGAGGTGGTAGAGACAAAAATGGACCATATACAAAAAGCAAACGATCTTCCACCATCAACCTCTGCTTGGAGAGTAAACATACCTTCGATTATGAAACGTACCTGTTCTTACCTTTCTACCATTATTATTATTATAATAACCTTTATTGTACATTTATGCCCTATGGGGCTAAGTACAGGTGAACAGATGAAAGGGTAATATATATAATATACAAAATGTACATGTTTGCAGTACAAATAGCTCTAAAACTATAGCTCTAATAGCTTCTTCTCGTTTCTTAGTGATGTTAAAAATATAATTTGAAATGGGTTTATAAGAACGAGAAGAAACAGCATTTGCTTAGTCGTAGTTACTTGACAATGTATGTGTATTCTATTCTATTCTCTTTTTGTGTCTACAATAAAGGTCTTCATTCATTCATTTAAATGTATTGCGACTTTCATGTTTTATGGAATGAATGACAACCTTTATTGCACATTTTTGCCACACCGGGCTAAGTACAGGTCACAACAAAACATGATGAACATATACAGTTCACATAAGTAATTTATTACACAAAACGTCTTGTCGCTTTTCAGTTATTGTAGTGTTGAATCTTTGTTGCATATTCCAGATGGGCTACATGCACATGTGAACAAGTGTGTTCCACTGGATATAAAACATGGAGTATATAAGGCCACAGCAAGTAATTTTTATGGATGACATCAGCGCACGCATTGGTTTTCGCCTGATTTTGGAAAAAAAAATTGTTGCCCTTTGACAGTGGTCGACACGTCAACATGCCGAAAATAGGAAGAATGGCATGCCTTGCCATGCTGGAACGTGTATGGCAGATAAACATGAAGAGAGAAGACAAGACTCTGATTTATTGTTTTGACTTTTACTTTGATGCAGTGATGTATTTCATTCCTTAATTTATATGTTCCCACTGGAAGTTATTTCTGTGACAAATCGATGGTGTGATAGTTGGCAGTTAAGTTAGCACAATATAGGTATCATTTCTTGTTTAGCAGAGTTTATGATGTCAAAATATAGAAATCTTTTTTTTTTGGCCCGCCTTGTTTTTTGTCGCCCTCTCGCATTAGTTTTTGGAGTCTGTGGAGGATGTCATCCATGAAATTTAGTTGCTGTGGCCTAACACTGAAAAGCTAAATTCTAACGGTAAATACTGTATATCAAAACAACAGTGTGTGCTGTTGTTCATCCGCTGTAAATCGTTGTTTTTTCTCGTTTTTGAAACACTTGGCAATCGTTAATCCTAATTCGAATCAGTCTGATAAGTTTAACCTTGTCCTTGACACAACTTCTATTTTTATATTGACCTTTGCTCTCTGGATGTTTGAAGGTTAACTCGAGCTAAATTAAAAACAATTCTGATCGATCTTAGATATATAATGTCTATATTATATAGAGTCCAATGATTAACGTTATGTGTTTTGTGGGCATATTTTTTCATGCCTGAAAT